AAAGGAACAAGTAATAAGTTTATTCCATGCTGAAAAAAAGAAGAAAGAAAACACCACGTTTCGGCTGTGGAGCCTTCTTCAGGTGTGAAGAAGGCTTCTTTCTTCTTTTGTCAGCATAGAATAAACCTATTACTTGTTCCTTTGCAGCGTACGCATGCTGACGCAGTCACCCACCTGAATAGGTGGTTTAGCTGTTTACACCCCAAATCGGATGCCAGCCCATCACAGAGCACATAGACGCACACACTCGCACCAAGGTTAAGTTTCCAATAGCCACTTTACCTCCCAGCACATCTATGAAAATCAGAACACCTGACACATGGGGGATATACAGACCACGCAGATAGCACCATAGGAATTTGATCCAGGCCCCATCACTGCAATGCAGCAATGCTAACCATCCAGGCACCTGCTTAAAATACTGTACAAGTACAATTTTAAATAGCTAAAATATAGTATGCATCATAGTGGAATATATAATAGAGTGGAAAACCATCTGCCTGTGAAGCTCCCCAAGTGTCTGGGATAGGTATAGTCTGGTTGGTTAGAATGCTGGAATTACAGTTTCATAGACAAGGTGGAATTTGTATCTGTCTGAAATGAGTGGCCTTGCAATGCCTGTCTCTGCAATCTATCCTGTTTGCAACCTTTGTGGCATAATGTCTCCTATGAGATGTGCTGTCTGTGCATTGGAGTCTTGCACAAAGCACTGCTGCTGAATAAAGTGTATTTATTTCACTCCAGGGGTCTGCTTCACGTTCTATTACTAATACTGTAGTTCTTACAAGTATTCTTACACACAATATCAAGTCACAATATCTTATGGATGTATACTGTAGGTATATATTAACCGTAGGGGGTCGCTTGGGAACTGAAACCCTCTATTTGAACTCCAGGCAACCTCAGCATGTGTCAGACATGAAGTCTAGTTCCCATGAACTTGTTATGGTCTTTTCATGCATAAGCATCAGTGACTTAAATAACTGAGCTCCACTCACTGGCATCTATTTTTTGTTTTACAGGAAATAAAGAAAACCGAGCAGACCGCAAAAGATAATGGATTTACTTGACTGCAAATTACTATGTTACTGACTTTTGTTGTTAACCTCATTATCAAAAAATATTGGTTTCACCATGGGTTTGCCCTAAAGGCATAGGAAAATATCAATATCTGAAGCTTTCACATTGAACTCTAGAACATCACTATATAAAATCAAGCACTGGGTAGTAGTCAGAGTGGATTCTATGCAAAAAATACTTCCAAACAAATCCAGTTGCAAAATGTCCACTGAATGTTCAGAGTTTTTTTGTGGAGATATGGTATGGTAACTATATAGATATGAGATCCTGTAGCCATAACGATATATGAGTAGTGATCAAGAAACTTCCTAATCACATCAGATTGTCACATCACTTTCTATAACAGCTTATGCAATTCAGGGTGACAGTGGCCCAGGGTGCAAGGCAGGTTAAACCCTCAAAATGGAACACCAGTCCATTGCAGAATGTACACAGACAGACACAAACACACGATCATACCAATTGTAAAGAAGCCATATAATCTACTAGCATATCTTTGGACTGTGGGAAAAAAACAAAGCACTTGAAGGAAACCCAGGCAAACTTGGGGAGAACATGCAAACTCCACACAAATAGCACTCCAGAAATTGAACCCAGGGCCACAATGCTGCAAAGCATGAATGCCAACCAGTGCACAACATACAGTACAGCAAGTGATTTCTTGCCTTCTGTTTCCCCATTAACCGCTGCCTTTAAAGACTTTTGGCTATAAGAGCAGACATGTTAGAGTGCAATTACTGTTGTTGCCTTCAGTAGTGCTCCAAAGGCATTACTCTTCTTCAGTCAGCCTTCTTTCACAGTACTGCACACAGAGGACAAACTCTGGTCTGGTACTGCAGACTATAGTACTGTAGGTCAGTGTATAATGGTAAAATAAATGCATAACTTCCACAGATATGAAAATTTTGTATTTATTTAATTTAGAAATCTTTTTTCACATAAGCAAAAAACATATCATTGACTCACTGAGATACTGTACAGTATATGCATTCCTAGCCCTGGAGGTTTTATGTTATCATTCCACCTGAGTTCACAATAACACAACATATCATGAGCTCTTTATTTTAACAAGATTTCCACGGTAAAAGATACTATAACTGCATGTATTCTCAGTCATACTGTATGAATAAGCAAATTCAGATGCCCACTAGCACAAATGGGCCCCCAGTTTGTGAACGTGGTCAGGAGCGTCTCAACTGCACCAGCAGACAGTGACTAGTTTGGATGTTTTCAAGGGAAGAGGGGGCCCCAAAAAGGAAGCACATTTTAATCGCCATCATGTTGCACTCATGGGCCTCAAGAAGGCAAACTCTTGAGAAAGTGGGAGGTTTCTCCACAATTTTATTTTTTTAATGTATCCACCCAATTTGAAATCATGTTTTTCCAGGTTAAGCCTCAGGGATATGAGCCCTGCAGCCACATGTGGGGAAAATGACAAAATTGAGCAGCCTATTCAGCGCTGAATGGAGGAAAGGCACATCTGCAGGCTCCCAGTATCCTGCGTGGTTTTGGTGCTGCCAAGACCTGACAGTCGGATTCCCAGCCTAGCCTTGATAACACTCAATCATGCACCACACCCTCAGGAATCCTGATCACTAGAGACCTAGTGAATCCAAAACACCTAGATCACAGAGATCAGCCTGGGACCGGGATTCCTCCTTTACCAATTAAGCCTCTCGGGAACCCCTTCCTGCAATTCAGTATGAAGGAAAATTAACGTACTTTACAGTACTACAGCAATGGCTCCTTTAAGTCATGAAAGTCAGGATCCATTTTCATTATTAATAAAATGTAAAGATATAAATAGGTTACACAGAGCTCTCTCCATGGTTCTCTCGGCAATGCTTTCACAGATTCACAGTTGACTGCATACATTTCTGCTCAATGTTTTTTTTTCTCCAAAAGAAAATGTACCTTTTTCCCCCTGAATAGAGAAAAACATGAACACACACTCCAGAGTGAAGTCCCCACAGATGTTTTTTGCAGGACTGTCCTTAGAAGTTGTAATTAGCATTGTTGAAGCTTTCCAACTGCTGATACTGATGGTCAGTAATTCAATTAAGGAGACAATTAAATAAGCATAAACATTCTTCTACATTCCTGTAAGAATATACTTCATGTATTTTTTGCTTTTCTATAAGCAGAGCAGGGCCAGAGTACAATGTCCCTCTTGCCACAAGGTAAAGACAATTAACTTGAAGAAACTTTTTGTTAACCACTTTATGAAACAATTAGTCAGGAATGAATGAAATAATTATGTGCTATTTAATTGCAATTACAGTGACAGAGCATAATAACCAACATGTAACTCCACAGTCACCACGCTATTGTTAATTATTATTAATTTGGCTAACACTTTCATCCAAAGAGACTTATGTTTGTATCCACCTGAGCATTCGACTGAAGCAATCAGTCTCTCTTTGCTCAGGGCTATAATAGCAGTGAAACATCTAGAACTTGAACCTGAATCCTTAAAGTTGCAGAGCCCTAACCATTACTCCTACAGCTGTCAGTTACAACCTTGTTTGCATCTTCAGACCACATTTAAGAAATTCCCAGTTTTAAAGGCCTTATCAGAAACAAATGCCCAAAAGCACGAGAGACAGTAAAAAAAGTAAAATGAGTAAAGGAAATATACCTAAAATAAACAATTTCTATTTTCTGATAGCTTTTTTTATTTCATTTTTTTCTATTTAATAGATCCATCCAGTTAATTTCAGAGCCATGGTGCAACGTGACAAAGTAAGGTCTCTTCAAGCAGAATTGAATTTCCTAGCCATCCTGGGAAAGCTTGCTTTTGAACATCTACTAGAATGAACCAAGCAGTCTAAACTTAACTCCAGGTTTTTGACCACATCCTTTCAACCACCTCAACCTCAACCTAAGAAGAGGGTTTGACTGAAGTCAATGTGCAAGGAATTAGACTTGAAAGTTAGCTCGAGGTGAAATGAAAACAAGAAAGAAAAAGAAAAAAAAAACAGACTGCACATTGTTCCTAGCACAATGGAGTTGCTCCAGAAAGATTTCCTTTTGTAATAAACTAATTGTGAAAACAGAAAGGGGCCCACCCTAAATGAGCATCAAAATCCATTTGTATGTATTTATTTTTACCTCCGCAACTATCTGTCAAATATTGATATCCTGGCTACATGTTGGAGGTCAAAGCAGCTCTAACCTGTGTCACAAAGATTAAATGCCCGCACTGAAGCATATCTTTAAAATAATGAATTTCAATCCGTCTTTTGCCCTAACTGCACAATCCTGTAGAACGTGTGTCAGTGAGCTGTTGTTACTGACTTGTTGCCAACCGCTCTAATCTGTTTCAACCTTGTTTAAACTTTCATCACCACTGAGAAAAGCCTACAAGTCCTTGATCTCACGTGTCATGTGGATCTTAAGACAGTAGTCCAAATGCACTATGGTATGAAGAATATTTCTTTACATTCTTTATATTATGACTTGAGAATAAAGTCAGATAATAGTGCTTACAACCCAGTTTTGAGTTGCATTGTTAGCATCAGTATTGTCTCATTACATGGGAATTAAGACAAGCTAGTTTCAAGACTGGGAAAAAGAGAATTCTTCACTGAAAGAATTCACTTTCTATACACTCACACTGAAAGAGATTTATTCACACTGACTCACTGGAACTAAGAAGAGTTTTCATAGAGATCTTTAATCATTACATTTCTACAAGGCAAGTAAGATGGGTGAATGACTTTCTTATGCTCTTAAAAAAATAACAAAACATTTTTTTAGATTTGAAGAAAATTTACACTGCTATGCAGACAATCCAAGAAGTACAGTATTTTAGAACTGATGGGTACAAGGTTATCAGATGAAAGTTTGATAATGAATTCATTAACAAATCAAGAGCTCTTTCAAACACTACATGTGCTAAAAATGAGTTTTTCACTTACCAGCCCCACTATTGCTGTTAAGGATTGTGGTGATATCTTGAAAGACTGTTGAAATCATTCCATATTAGACTTTAACTCTTGATCTAAAGACTGAACTTCTTTCACCTTTAAGGTTTCACACAATCTTACAAACTAAGTGCTCTAAGAAATATTTTTAAGTTTGCTTTTAGCTCTTTAACTGTTAAATGAGTATGAACCCTGTACCAGGTTGTGAGTTTCAGAACTCTGCCCTCACAGGTGTGTGGCCTGATTCCCACCTGGGTCTGCTCATCATGCATTTAACACATACTTTACATTGCTAAAAGTTAGAAATAAGGGAACAAAGGATTAATCAATATGCTGAAGAGAGATTGCTGAGGTCTGTATGGAACAATATAATTAAAACAAGGTATTTTTAAACCAAGAAAACAAAAGCAAGTAAGTCAATTAATGGCATCAATTAGCATGGTGATTAACAGCTCAATAGGAACACAAAACAGCAGACACAGGAGTCCCACTCCTTGCAAAAAACCTCCTAATCTTGCTTTATTGTTTTTAATATTTTAATAAAACTCAACAAATAATTAAGCAGTGATGCATGCACGTTGCACAACAAACTATAACAACTTGAATAAGCATGCCAGCCTTTTAGCTCCATGCAGTAAGAACACATCAGTCATCTGTATCAAATTCCTGTAATGTTAGAAACCAGAAAAAAGAAAATGCTTATTTTGGAACCCACCACCAGATGTGTTACCTGCCGGTGCAATCAATGCATAATTTCTGTTGACCACTCTGTAATTAAACCCTTTCATTTTAGGATTGGATTACAAGCACTTTGCTGCAATCTTAATGAATATAAAAACCACAAGATAAAAGCTGAGTGATTTGGACTGAGTGTTCTATGTTATTTTCAATCAAGCTTTAGACCTCAAGCATCTCTTCAGTGTAAAATAATCTCTGTGAAAATTATACTGTATTGTACTGTAACGTACCACCTAGCACTGCACATAGGACGCTATCATGGCAGTTATTTTTATTTAGCACTTATTTAAAATAATACATTTAAATTAAAACAATGCTTTGAAGTTTCTGAGAAATGTGTGAAAGAAAAGAATGGGTCATTTGGAAATTGCAAACTTCCAACCCAAGCTACGCACATTCTACTGAGAATTAGAACTTTTCATTCTGAAGGGTCTTTTCTCTACCTTTTGTTTGTGACATGGCTTCAGACGGGACAAAAGAACTGTCAGAGGAGTGACAGAGCTAGAAAATAAAACTTGGAGAAAAAAAAAAGTCTAGTGTATCTTTTGCCTGACCATCAGATCAGTTTACTATACGTTTTTTTTTCCCAATACCATAGAGATACTTCTGAACTACTCTTTACTAAGTTTTTTAAAAATGTATTCTGTACCATTGAGCTAAAAAGCATACTTCTTGAAGAATCCGTGCACTTAAACCCCCAGAGATGGAAAAGGCTGAAAGAAAGAAATAAACAGTTGAACGTTTTTCAGTTTCTGCACTGACATCCTCCTAAGTGCTTTTCTGATTATACTGTATGGCTGTTCTATTTGAAGCTCCAAATTTAACATCTTGCTTTCATACACTAATGATATCTCAACCTGAAACTGTTGGTTTCTGCACAGAATACCTTATCTAAAAAGCATTTTACAGTATTTTTTTAAAATGTAATTTTTGAAACATTATAGTTGAAAAAAATTACAAATACTGTATTTACAGTATACTGTACATATTTTTCATTTGCAGCAATAAATTCATTTACAGATTTCTAATAACAATGTATTGCTTATTATAGAAATTAAATAATTTAATAATACATACTATGTGTACAATGTAAAAACTTCCTTTTGTTTTTCAGTCAACTATTTGTGCAATGTGTGGTAACCAATGATATTGATATTGCCTTTAAACTAATAACTAATTCTTAAACTAAGAATTAATGTTTTATTTGAGGAAACAGAAGATCATCTGTGCTGCTAAAAATCACAGTTCTGTATTTATTAGATCATTCCAGGTTGACAGAATAAAATTATTGTTCTATAAGCATAATGACTAAGTCTCCTTAAAAGGTTATATAGTATATAGAAAATGGATAGATATATTTCAAAATCTTTCTTGTGTAAAAATATTTATAGAAAACATGTAGTCCATACCGGCACTTATTTTTGTTATACAAAAATGTAAAAAATGTGTTTCTAAACATCTAATGTAACATTAGATGTTTCTATTCTAGATGTCCAGTAAATCAAGATAGTCTCTAAAACACATCTTTACAATCTAATACACATCTAATACAATCTTTTGACCTGAGATTTAGTTTGTTAGCTAACACTGACATGTTCTGGACAGTTAATGAAGATGCAATGTTTTACTTCAAAGATTGTTATTAACTGAAATACTCATACACACTGTAAAGACAGCATTTGCAAAACTACAGAGATCCTCACACTTTATGTATAATTTATTATACATTTAAGGAAAGATGACAGTAATTATGGAATTGAAAGAAAAAATAATTAACCACAGTGTATATTACTGTATAAACCCAGTCTACATATAGTACAATGGCATCTCACTATTGTATCATAATTTAGTGAATCAAAGTTACACAACTAGAAATAAAATTATTCATAGAAGGGAACAGATTATGATGATTGCCCTTTGTAATAGAACTGTGGTTGGTCATGTCTGCTGGGATTGATTTTGGCAAAGTTAGCTTATCCCTCTCACTTTTGTCTGTAATGTATACAGTATATGCCTGGCCTTTGCTTTTTTGTTCTTGATCTAACTGCCTTTAAACAGATTTTAAACAGATGCAGTTTCTTAATTATAGTGATAGAGCAAGCTGCTAATTGTACACAGGTTCTGCTTCTGTTTGACCTGTAAGGCAAATGAGCTTTTTTATCAGAGCTAATAATGGTGCACAGGAAAACAAGGCATCTACTGTAAATGAAGTGCTTAATTTTGTGTTAGAACAAGTTAATTCATGCAATTGCAGACAGTTTTTTTTTTTTTTTTAAATCTCTGTTAAGGAATCCTGTAGTAGTATCTAAGCAGATGTTTATGGAGGCAAAAGAAAACAAATAATTATTAGTTTTAAACATGGGGCTTTGTATTCTATCAATTATAGAGCAATAACTGAATTGGAATTGTCCATCAGAGTACAGTTTTGAGGGTAACAGACCATAAATGATATTAGGAAGATAAGTCAGTCAAGGAAATGCAGCCAAGAGAAGGCATTGAGATGTGTTTCTCTGGTCAGTTGCCTTACATTTACTATACAGTAGGTGCTGTAACTACAACTTAACCAACAATACTCTCAACAAACCAAACAAATCAACAAACTCTTTCTTACCAAAGCCATGGAAAGTTATTATCTTGATTGATTCAATAAAGGGTAGAATTAAGGCGTGCATGGCTCAGCTTGGTGCACTAGATCCCCTAGTGGCTTAATATTAGAATCAGATGATAACAGATTTTGCTCACACACTAGCTAGCCTTAATCTTTCAACAACCTATTGCTCATTTATTCCGAGTACCTTCTTTAAAATATTGCATTCAGTAACACTAAAAATTGTATTTATGATGAAAATCATTGGCAGCCAGATGCTAAAGTACATGCTATAACACCACCCACTATAATGATTCATAATTGACTTACATTGTGCTTGAATTTGACTGTGTTGAAGTAGTGTTTATGTTGTTAAGCTCAGTACAACGTGGTGAAGGAATGTCCTAATACACTCATGTAAGTCACATAACCACCCAAAGAAATCAATGGAGGAAATGAATGCTGAACACTCAAAAACGTCCAATTTTCTTCTAGATAAGCTATTCTCTTGCAGTCAAATCAAGTACATTAGAAAAAAGAAAACTTAACATAAGTGCAGTGAGTATCATTTTTAACAATCTCTTCAGATGAATCACTTCTTTATAGATGAGCTCAGGGGCTAACTTTGATGGGTGAGATCCAATTGTGGAAGTCATCCATTTCCATAGCTAACTTTTTACATCTACTGTATGTGTTTTTCATACAGTACGTATCCATGCAGCTCCCACCTTATGTGTTCATCATTTAAATTATGAAATTATGATTAAAGCTGACAGAATCCAGCCTAATTAATGGACACTCAACGCTGGTACCCTGCCAATTGCGAGCCACCAGTTAGTGACAAAGCACAGGCTTGGACAGGTTATGTCCAAACCATGGGACACCCCCTGCACTCTGAGCCAGAAGCTACTTACTGACATTTGGTCAAACTGGAAATCCATGAATATAGTGAATACTCATGAATACAATACTTTTTTCTGTGTAGGATTTTAAAATACATGTGCAGTGTTTATGTAACCATAATTTCCATTTACAACTGTAAAGTGAAACTGAATTCTGTTGATGTGAAATTCTGAGAACAGATATGTCATGAATTGAAGGTTTTGATTTATGCAAATGAAATAAAATTGTCAGCCATTTCCAGAACCTAATGCGACTAATAAGAACCTCAAACAAAGGCTAAAACAGTGCAGTACTGCATAAAGCAGTTTGTTACAGGTGGCCCTTCTTAATAATTTTATATTAAGGATTGAATCATAAACCTATATACGTGTATATGCTATTTAAGTGTACTGGTATGATGTATGTAATAGACTGCACTCTGAATTAGTTTACAATGCACTCTAAGTGTTGGGGGAAGGGGGTGTTAGATCAGTCTTCTATGTCATTGCATTTTCTGTGCTGTTGAATAAAGGAGTGAAGAATAAATTCACACCAGTCAAAATGAAATAGGTTGTTTTACCCTGCAATAATGTGGCCTGCAGTGTGACTGTCACACTCCACATCTCATCAGCTGTGCCAGTGATAAATAAGGCAACAATGGGACCACATGTGAAAAAAATCTTAAATGTACTCAGGGGGCTGTGCTGCTATACTCCCATGAAAGCAAGAAATCATCAGTTAATTCTACAAACATTAGTAACGTTTGAAAAATTAATGACTTGAAAGGATGTTAAAATAAAATATCCACCCCAGCATACTTTTAAAATAATTCTTTGAGAAACAAAGTCAGCTTTGGAAAGACTCTTTCAATTATTATTATTTTCAAGTTCTGTTATTCAAAACAACTGATACCTGACATACAATTACCTAGTCATTTTTCCAATCT